CGCTTTCCTTTTCGCTTTCCTTTTCGCTTTCCTTTTCTTTTCTTTCTAAATATTCTTTTGACACTGTCTTAAGCTTCAACTAAGCTTCAACATTCCTGAGAATTAATGCAGTTAAAAAACTATTCCAGCAGAGTACTCTTTTTAATCTTGTTCAAGCAAAACTTTTTTGTAATAAAGTTAGAACACTTCTTCCCCCATCGATTAGATTTGCAGTGATAAAGTTAGTATGTATCTATTTCTAAATTAATAATGTGTCTGTATAAAGTATTTTCAATGGCATTATACACTGTGTCTGTTGTTAGAACTGGTTATTTGAATTATGGCTTATTTCTGTAGCATAGAAGCTTGTAAAAAAGTACAAGAAAAACAGAAGGTTTTTTTTTTTATTCTGATCTAATCATTAATTAGGGCAGTTTGAAGTTTCAGTAGGGCACACAGAGACCATTTTAGAGGGTGTTTTAAATGCTGTAATTAAGTTGTAGGAGTAATATTGTTAAAAAATAAAGATCTTAGTGGAAAAAAATCTTGCTATACCTATTTGGCCAACTGCCTTCTTGTTTTACCTCCCATTTTCACAGCTCTGACATGTAGCAGTGCATATTTTAACATAAAATAGCAAGTCTGAAACTCTGACATGCTGTATATTTATTTTCGTGTGAAGTAAAACTTTTTTTAAAATAGTACAGATGATTGTATCTTTTTTCTTTTTCTTTTTTTTTTTTTTTTTCTCCCAAACCTAGTGTTTCTTTTAAAGTGTAAGGTTTATTTTCACACTTCTGATTGCCAGAGAAGCAGGAAGCAGAGAGCTGTACATCAGACATTTAAATCCAGACATTATGCAATCATGATAACAAGGATTAATAAAGATTAATTTAGCTCCCACTTAAAAGCTCTGGTGTTTCAGAAATATAACCGTCTAGATTTTAAAAAGAGAATAATTATAATTTCCTTTTTGAAATGTTCTTCTTTGTTATAGAGAGTTATCCATGATATGAAGCTTATTTGTGCCAAGCTATTCTCCAGATATATGTGGTTGTTCAAATAAAGTGACAGTTAAAAAAATATAAGTATCTGCAATAGCAGTAGCTTATTGCTGTTTCTTAAGTGTGTGGAACACTGAACTGCAATGCAAAAATAAACTAACTGACTAATAAATAGGTTTTGTCTACTCTTCAAAACTGCACATGATCTAGAAATTTTTTCCAGAGATTTTAATTTTAACAGGTCAGTAGTTTTGAACAGATAGGCAGCAATGAATATAATAATTGTGTTGTATTAAAACCATTCTGGAAAATAGAGTTTTCATATAATGCAATAGTCTTTTGTCGATGAGAATGTAACAGTCTTCCAAAGAAAAAGAGATGTGATGAGACATAATAATACTCATGAACAAGAACACAAACTAATACATTTTCACTATTGCTAATTTATATGAAATCCTCTTATGTATGTTACATTGTTAAATATTATTATGTCTTGCTTAACATTTCCTCACAAGAGCAGGTAGTTAGAATCCTTTTAAATTTATTTAAAGTAGTTTTGCAGAGACAGTCATTATTCTTTTAAGAAGAATGTCCAAGTAATCACACTGGTTGTTGATATTAGAGGCTAGTGATGTAAACCAATAATAATAAGCTAAATATATATATATATTTTCTTCAAATACTACACCCAAACGTAGAATAAGTCACTCTCCGAAGGCCTACAAGATGCTCCCAGATTTTTTCTCTTAGGAATGAGGAACATGGAATCAGGACTGATCTGACAAGGCCATAGCTTGTCTGAGCATGCATTTAGAGAGATGCTACACCGAGGAAAATGGGACTGCTTAGTTAATATTACTACTTAGTTAATATTCATTTGTAGAAAACAGATTTCTCAAAAGACTCACAAAAACCTATTGTTTTCACCCTGAATTTAATTTTTTTCTTGATGAAAAGCCAATCAATAATCTGATAGCAATATTTTTTAGTCTATAATCAACAATATGATCAACGCTAGTTCATAGAATTCACTAATTGAATTAAAAATAGAAAGAAAATCTCATTGAGCAATATCAAAAGGCCCATTTAAAATCATCTCATTGTCTACAGGTTACTCTTGAGGCTTGACTCACAATAGCCTCCTCAGTCTCAGTTGTAGACATACATTAGATAATGTAGATCTAAAATCTTAGAGTAAAAAAATGATGTATTTATCAATTATTAATGATGTATTTACCAATAATTTATAGAAGATTCACCATTGTCAATTTGAAACCGATTCCAATTTGTAAAAGTTAGGAATTCTGAAAAACAGAATTAAACTACAAGAGAACTACAAAACTACTAATATTTTCAGAGACACAATTGAAATGTTTTATATGACTATTCCTATTCCAAGAAGTTTCTTCTCAGGTTTACTAAAACAGGAAAATGAACATCATTTTGAGTTTTCTGGCTCCATTTCAGTAGTCGGAAACACACATTAAGCATTCAGAAGAAAAAAAAAAAACCCTCATTCCCATATACCTTAATTTGTCTTTAAATCACTTTAGGAAGGAGTAAAAAGATGGACAGGTAAACAATACTAAAGAAACTAAAGAAGAGAGAAGAAATTACTGAACTATTTTGGATGAGTACTTAACAGGGTAGAAGTATAATCAAATGGGAGCCATGCTAACAATCTGTTCTCTTTGAATATTGGTTCTTTACCAAAACAAAGATGCAGCCTTTACTCTGATGGATTGCATTTCACTGGATAAATGACCCTAAATATACCATTTAGGGTTATGAAATAGCTGTTGGACAGTGGATGTCAGAGTAGTACCAGTTTTTTTGAGAGCCCACACCTGAGGAAACAGGATTAAAGAGAGCTTTCGAGATCATAGTTTAAAGAGATTCAGGATGTTGATCTAATCCAAGAAAGGAGAAAGAGGAGAGGATTTGCATGAAATTCTGCAAAGTCCAGCTTCAGTTTAGGTCAGAGATACCAGAAAGATTAATTTCCTAAGATTTCCACTGTTTCCAAGGGATGAAAAAAGTCTACTTCATTGGGATATTAGTAGGATTTCATCAACAGTTGTTAGCCACTTTTCATCCATTTTTCCTGTCTAAACTGTTCCATACAACCCTTCTATTTTTTGTTAAGTATTTGAGATAGAAAGGAAAACAGTGCCATGAACAGCAGATCAAAAAAAGAAAAAAGAAAAAAAAAAAAAAAAAAGGAAAAGAAACTGAAGAAAAATGTCAGGAATAGGAAAACAAAGTATAATTTCATAATTAAACAAACAACAGAAAGATAATAAACAGAACCAATGTACAAGCAAACAAAAAGGCTGTTCCACAAAATAAAACATATTGTAATGGTAGCAATAAATTATAGCCAGGAGGAGGAAGACTGAATGAAACACAGAGAACTGAAAATAGGATGATCTTGTAAAAGAGTGAAAGAATAAAGATCAGAAATCCACATCCACATCAAGAAGAATCAAACTTACATTACTTAGGTCTGCATGTTATGAAAAAAATCAACAATCTGACTCTGTAGATGATTCAGGAAATTGAACTTTCTGATGTCTGC